AGGTCATGATCCCAGGGTCCTGAGATGGAGCCCCGCATCAGGCTCTCTGCTCGGCAGGGAGCCTGCTTCCCTTCCTCTCTCTCTCTGCCTGCCTCTCTGCCTACTTGCAATCTCTGTCTGTCAAAGAAATAAATAAAATCTAAAAAAAAAGAAAAAGAAAAAGAAAAAGAAAAGAAAAGAGGTCTAAGGACTGACCTCTGGGACACCCAGTTCTCACATCTGACATAAGGTGGTTTAAAGCTAGCGAGCCCTCTGGGGCGCCTGGGTGGCTCAGCCAGTTAAGCGTCCAACTCTTGGTTTTGGCTCAGGTCATGATCTCAGGGTTGTGAAATAGAGCCCTGCGTCAGGCTCTATGCTCAGTGCAGAGTCTGTGCCCGATCTTCTCTCCCTCGCCCTCTGTCCCCTCCCCCCTCAAATATATAGATAAATCTTAAAAAGAAGAGGAAAAAAAAGCTAGCGAGCACTCCAAAACAGAGGCAGATACCTAAGCTAGGCTTATAAGAACAGGCAGGTACTGGAGACAGAAGTAACAGATATCAAATACGAAGAAACAATTTTGGCAAGAGGAATCAAGCATCTGCTTGGCAATAGAGGTTGAGAAAAATTTAAGGATTATTGAGTCTGGGTAATATATTCTAGATGTCAGCAAAGATGGGACCTTGGCTCTGAGCCAGCTTTCTGCCCTGGGCTTCCACTGCATCCTTACCTTGATTCCTGCCCCCCGTGGGTATCTGTGTATTGTTCTAGCTTATCATTTGCCCTTCTTTCCTATTTCATTTTCTTTTTCCTTAATTGCACATAATACAGAAATAATACATTCAATTGATTCTGACATTTTTCCCCCACATCTTAACACCTCCAAAATTAAGATGAATCTTAGAAGTTGATAGTGTGAGGGGTACCTGGGTGGCTCAGTGGGTTAAGCCTCTGCCTTCGGCTCGGGGTCGTGATCTCAGGGTCCTGGGATCGAGCCCTGCATTAGGCTCTCTGCTCAGCGGGGAGCCTGCTTCCCCCTCTCTCTCTGCCTGCCTCTCTGCCTACTTGTGATCTCTCTGTCAAATAAATAAATAAAATCTTTAAAAAAAAGGACTGGAGGGATTTGCTATAAAATAATAATAATAGTCACTGATTTTAAGTGTACAATTCAACGAGTTTACACAAATATGTATAGACATGCAACCACCACCACAATTGTGATAAAGGGCATTTTCATCATTCCAAAAACGTTTCCTGGAGTCTCTAGACAGCCAATCCCTTCTCTCCACACCTGTCCCCTGCAATCAATGATCTGCATTCTATCACTAGTTTTACCTTTTCCAGAATTTCATAAAATGAGATTGTACAGCATGTGCTGTGCCTGGATTTCTTCACGCAGCATAATCATTCTCAGATTCATTCATGTTGACAGACTTATCAGTTCGTTTTTATCGTGGAGTATCATTTCATCCTATGGATGTATCACATTTTGTTTGTCCATTCGCCAGTTGAGATATTTGAATTGTTTCCAGTCTGCAGTTATTTAAAAAAAAAAAAGAATAATCAGCCTTTTTCAAAGTGGGAAAAAGGGTAAACCCATCTAAAACAAGTTGGATTATATTTTATTTTCTCCTCCCCATGAGGCGTGAGTAGCATGATATAATCCTTTTACTTTAAAAAAAGTATAAGGAAAACAAATCTCATACATTTTGGTTATATTACTCCTTTAATTATCAGTGAATGGTGTTAAGTATCTGTGAATCCTAATCAAGTTAAGGAAAAGAAATTCCAAAGTTCCTGAAAGTACAGTTTAGAGTCGATAATTTAAAAATACAAATCTAAAAAGAAAGAAAGCACAAGTCGTTCCCCCAGCGAGGTAAACTTTGGATAACATCGGGTTCCCTGAGGGAAACAAAGCCTGCAGAACCTAGCTTTTTTTTGCCAAAAAAAGTGGTTTTTTTTCTATCTTTTGATCTGAAAAACACTGAACTTTCAAGAGTAAAGACCCCTCTTTACTTACAAATAGAGACACTGATATAACAGGCTTCAGAACGCGCGGCCAGAAGCGGCTAACTACTCTGTATGCCGGGATTTGTAGTCCGTTAAAGAGTCCTTCTAGCCAACATGGCGGAGTTGTTAATGACGTGAGAAGAGCGACCCCGAGGGAGTATGGGCCGCTAGGGGATTGGGCGGTGTGGGGAGTCGACAGGCGGGAAGTTAAGACCAGGTGCTAAAACCTTTCCTTCAAAGGAAGCTTAGCGCCCTGAAGTCTCGCGAGATTTTGGCGGGACCCAATGGAACGTGGGGCCTGGCTTATCACCAGGGGCGCTTGTTGGGGGCGGAACTCGACGGGAGTGGGCCGGGCGTCGTAGGTGCCCCGCGTAGCGGCGTTTAGGCCGGGCAGCCTCTGTGAGGAGCGAAGCCGTGGCCATGAAGGAGGAGAAGGAGCATAGGCCTAAAGAGAAGCGAGTAACCCTGTTGACTCCCCCGGGGGCCACAGGCAGCGGCGGTGGGGCTTCGGGCGACACCGCCAAAGGGGAAGATAAGCAGGATCGAAATAAGGAGAAGAAAGAGGCGCTGAGCAAGGTGCTTGGCCGGCTGTTGGCCCGGGAGAGGGCGGGACGGGTCCGCCACCCGCGAGGATGGTTGGGAATGGGGCTGCCCTCTTCCTCTCCCAGTCTGCGCTTCTGTTTCTTCACCTGAGTGGAAATCGCGTCACCCTGTTTTCATCCATTCGTCCGAGATGGGGGGGTGGTTCCCCTTTCGGCCAAGCCCCGGGGTGCGAGTGAGAGAAAACGCGGGGGGGGATTCCCAGACGAGAAGCTTTAGGTCAGAGCTGTAAGATGATGGAGGGGGAGCGACAGTAAAGAGAAAGAGGAATTAAAAGGCTAATTGGAGGGGGATTATTAAATGGTGAGGGGGCCAGCAGGGGTGGGAGGAGTATTAATGGAGGCGAGTTGAGCGTGAGTGGGGGGGATTAATGGTCCGGGGACCAGGTCAGTTTCATCCTATTTGGGGAGCAACGACGGAACTTTTAGTATTCCTTAGAGTTTTTAATTCTTTACGCTGAATAAAGAAGGATTTTGTTTTACGATGTGTCGGATGTGGTAGGGCGATAATAAGTCAAATGTTCCTGGCACCCAGAAAGACCAGGGTTAGCCTACTAATTTCTTGCTAATACATCTATTGAAAAATGGGTGCTAGAAAATGATGCGAAAACCAAGTGAACTGCGGGGCTTCCGTTTAATAGAACCTTAAGATTTTCCTTTCTCCATGCAGTTCTCATTTCTAAGAGTTTATAAAAACGGCATTATTACTATGTTTGAGTAATTCTGAGCATTAGAATAGTTTTCTACTGGGTTTTTATAAGTGAGCTCATCTTTTAAAGACCGTCTATTTTCAGGGGCAGTGATTCAGGTATGACAGAAAACTGATTTGTACTAATTTGATTTTCCTCATTCATTTCTTAAGGTGGTAATTCGGAGATTACCTCCCACTTTGACCAAGGAGCAACTTCAGGAACATCTTCAGCCTATGCCGGAGCATGATTATTTTGAGTTTTTTTCTAATGATACTAGGTAAAATGAATAAAAGAGGGTGGGGGTAAATGAAAATTTTTCATCCATTCTTTTTTTAATCCTACTGTGTTTTTTTTTTAAGATTTTATGTATTTATTTGACAGAGAGATCACAAGTAGGCAGAAAGGCAGGGGCGGTGGGGGGGAAGCAGGCTCCCTGCTGAGCAGAGAGCCCGATGTGGGAGTGGATCCCAGAACCCTGAGATCATGACCTGAGCCAAAGGCAGAGGTTTAACCCACAGAGTCACCTAGGCGCCCCTATCTTATTGTTTCTATTTGATTTTTGAACTTGTCTCTTACAATATATGCATACTTGTAATTCAGCCAGACACCTGCAAGCACATTTACATAATTGCTTTCCTCTCTGCAGTCTGTATCCTCATATGTATGCCAGAGCATACATCAACTTTAAAAACCAAGAGGACATTATTTTGTTCAGGGATCGCTTTGATGGTTATGTATTCCTTGACAATAAAGGTGAGTCCTTGTAACTGAAGGGGAGTTTCTTTGTCATTTGTATGTTTAAGACAATGTGTGTATCACAGTGTTTTCTCAATGCCTTCATAGCTTTTCTAAAATTCTGGGTGATAAAATGTGCAACATTTGGAGAGTTTTACACATTTGCTGAGCTTACTGCAGTCTTAAAAACAGATGTGTGACTTTTCACAGCCCTTGGGTATTTTTATTAACCTGTTACTTTTGTAGTTTGATCCGCTGAATGAAATTACCACTGTTTTCTCTTCCTGTGGCAGTTTTGTTTGCCCTGGATTAGATGATCTGTTGTTTTGACTATTTACTAGTTATAGCAGTAAATACTGATAAATGACTCTTTGAACTTGTACGACATATTTTAAATATTTACTTGACATCTTGCTTCAAGGGCCAACATTGATTTATTTATTTTAATTTAAATCCTTTAAGCCAGTAATTCCCAGTTGGAATACGGTTCAACTTTCTAATTTGTATTTGTACTTAAAACATCGAACTGGATGATCTCTCACTTTGTATCCAGGAGTCTATAGGGAAGAAAAACTTCAGCCATAACTTTCTTTTTATTTATTATCTGCCACTTGCAGCAAAGTGGTCAGGGAATTTAGCCAGAGAATGTCCAAGCTGCCATTTATCACTTTTCTTTTGGCTTTGTGATCATAGGTAAATGACGTATCTTTTTGTTGGGCTGTTTCTCAGTATTACTTCGAAGTTGGTAAAAATGAAATCTTTGTCAGGGAATATGCCAATAAAAGTTGAAGGATTGCCACTACGTTTGATCAGCTTTTATTAATCCCCAGTCCCCTTCCCCCACCAAAAGCAGTTATTTATCCACTCCAGCTTTATTCCAGTAGATAGCAATGTGTTCCTTGAAATCTGAGCTGTGTTTTAACTTTTTCTTCTCTTTCTTATTCCATATAATTAAACACGTGATGAATCTTGTTAATTTATTGTTTTTGAATATCTTGTTCGTCTACTTACTAATACTTTCACATTGTGTCCTTCCCTCCTAATGCTTAGACAACCATTGTCTCGAAACTTACAGACTTTTCTTTTTCTTTTTTCATTTTTGTATGACTAACTCAGTCTGTTATATTGTCATGAAATGAGTGTTTTTGAAAATAGTGATTTAAGATAGCAGTTGCAGGGGGGAAAAGTCCAAATTCCTTAGCCTGGTAGTCAAGAGTCCTTCAGAGCCTGGCCTCACTTCTGGTTTTTTTTTTTTTTCCCAGCCCCTCTTCCACAGTTCATTCTGCTTCAGTCTGGTTTACCTATTGCTTCTCAAATAGATCAGTTAATAAGCTAATCTGATTCTGCATTCCCTAGGATTTCCAAGATCATGTTTCCTCCCTGACCACTTTGTGATGCCTTCTGGTCATTTCTGCTTACTCTATTCTGGCTCACATCTACATGCCAATGACAGTGTTTTATACCCTTTATGACATTATTCTAGAGCAGGGATCTGGTGTATTTTCTTTTTCCAGCAGTCACTTGGTTTTTTGTATTGAGATATAACTCGCATACCATAAAATTCAGTGGTTTTTAGTATACTCACAAAGTTGTACAACCATCACCACTATGTGATTCTGGAATGTTTTCATTACTCCAAAAAGAATGCTATAACTGTCAGCAATCATCTCCCCTTCTCCTTCTTCTGGACATTTCATATAAACAGAATCATATAATATGTAGCCTTTGTGACTGCCTCTTTTACTTAGCATGTTTTCAAGATTCATCTGTGTTATTGCATATATTATAACCTGATTTCTTTTTTTGTTTACATTCTTTTAAGTGTGGTAAAATACACATAAATAAAATTTACCATCTTAACCATTTTAAGTGTATAGTTCAGTAGTGTTGAGTACATTCACACTGTTGTGCAACCAATCTCTAGAACTTGTTTATCTTGCAAGACTGAAACTCTATACCCATTAAATAGTAAGTCCCCATATCCCCATTTCTTTCTCTTCCCAGCCCCTGGCAACTACCATTCTATCTCTGTGAACCATCATTCTGTATAAAGTTGACCATTCTAGGTATCTTGTGAGTGGAACCATATAGTATTTGACTTTCTGAGGTTGGCTTATTTATTTAGCATAATGTCCTCAAGGTTGATCCTTGTTATAGGGTGTGTCAGAAATTCCTTTTTAAGACAGAGTAATACTCCGTTGTGTGTATACGTACACACTACATTTTGTTTATCCATTTATCTGTTGAGGGACATCTGAGTTGCTTCCGCCTTTTGACTATTGTAAATAATACTCCTCTGAATGTGAGTGTACAAACATCTATTCAGGTCTCTGCTTTCACTTCTTTTGAATATATACCCAAAGGTGAAATTGCTGGGTCATAATGTAATTCTATTTTTAATTTCTGGAGGAACCACCATATTGTTTTCCATAGCAGCTGCACCATTTCACATTCCTACCAGTTATGCATGAGGGTTCTAATTTCTTCATGTCCTTGCCAACACTTGTTATTCTCTGTTTTTTTTTTTCCTTTAAAAGCTGCCATTCTAATGGGTGTGAGGTGATACCTCATTGTGGTTTTGATTTGCATTTCCCTAATGGTTAGTGAGGTAATAGTTTAATCTTTTCATATGCTTGTTGGCCATTTGTATATCATCTTTGTAGAAATGTCTATTCAAGTCTTTTGAACATTTTTTAATTGGGTTTTTTGTTGTTACTGAGTTGTAGGAGTTCTTTATATATTCTGTATATTGATCCCTAATCAGTTAAATGATTTGCAAATATTTTCTCCCATTCCATAGGTTGCCTTTTTACTCTGTTTTGTCCTTAGATACACAGAAGTTCTTAATTTTGATGTAGTTCAATTTACCTATTTTTCATTTTCATTGCCTGTGCTTTTGGTGTCTCCTGGTGTATTTTTTTAATAACAGTTTTATTGTGATATGATTCACATGCCATAAAATTCACCCTTTTAAAGTGGTTTTTTGTATATTCACAGAGTTGTGCAGCTATTGCCACAATCTAATTTTAGAATACATTTAGCACTCCAAAGAAAACCCCATATTCCTTAGCAGTCATTCCCCACTCTCCCCCAACTATGCCCCCCCGCTCTGGGCAGTCACTGATCTTCTTTGTATCTCTATAGATTAGTCTAGAGATTTCTGATTGTATTTTTTAAATGAAAATTGATCTGTAGATTTTTCCCCCCATTCATATTTTGTGAATCAAAATATCACACTTGTAGAAGTTGAATTTAAGTGAATATTGTATTTCCCTGCCATATCTTTGCATTATGTTTTCAGTGCGAATTTGGGCTCCTTTGGTAACGCACTGATTTTAGTTGTGCCCGTGTGATTTATGCCCATTGAGGGGCCCCTATTCAGATGACTCCCAACCAAAGAGGCCTAGAGAGCAGTGGGTTGACTCTCTTGCATCCACTTTGTGACTTCTTTTGTTACAGCAAGTGTGGTATTTTTTCTAAACAGGTCAGGAATATCCTGCTATAGTAGAATTTGCACCTTTTCAAAAAGCTGCAAAAAAGAAGACTAAGAAAAGAGATACCAAAGTCGGGACTATCGATGATGGTACAGTATAGCTCTAGTTATGTCATGCTCTTGCCATGGGTTTTTAAAAAATATCATCTTTGTGGGAATTAATTGGATTCCAGTCTTTTAAATAGGAAAACATACAGAATACAGTTCATGAGAAATGTAATTCACTGCTGAAAGCTTTGTTTAATTGTTACAATGGAAGTGGGTTTCCTGTAGAATTCCCACTCTTCCAGCTACTGCCATTTCATTCCTCCACCGTCGAGCAATATATTGTTGACTGTTGAGCAGTAAATTACCGCTGGTTTGTTGATTAGAAGACAGTGGGGGAAAATGAGATGTATCGAAGTGCAGCTCCTTAAGGTCTCATACTGTTTTATGATTTTTTTTTTTGGTTCCTATTTTTATAGAGGGGAGGTTTATCATTGAGAGTTGGGATGGAAAAATTTTTATACTCAGGTAACAATATAAAGTAGCTGAAGTGGCCTGTTTTTTTTTAGGTTTTGAATATGCAGCAAACTGCACACATAGTAATTATATTGAACTGGAATAGAGGAACTGAAAAACTAGAATAATTGCCATATGGGGTAAACTGGGTCCGTATTTTGAGCTCTGTGTAATGTTATGTTGGATAAGGCCTTAGCTGTAATATTTTATATCTGATTGACATTTTGGAATCGTCTAGTTTGATTTCCATTATTTTTTATAGTAGGTATTTTATAAAGAAAACATGGAAAAGATTCAACACACAGGTACTTACTGGTTATATCACAGATTCAGATCTGGGAGACCAGATCAGTGACATGCTTCCCAGTGCCTAGAAACTCCACAAATACAAGCAATGGAATGACTCAGATGTGTTACCCTTTCTGATGTCAGATGCATCTAAAAAACAACTCCAGGAATTACCATCAACTCCAGTGCCGCATGTAGGACCTCAAATTACCTTTCTGGAACACCTGATTTTCAGGTGTTGGGTTTACTTAAAGCGAGGTATACCTACACAGGAATTGCTTACATGCTATCTATTAACACTGTGAAGGTCCCATAACTACAACTTTCAGTTCTCACGTAAGTGTGACTCTGGGTTAGTTGGAGCAGTGACTTTTAAAACCAAACTACTTAACATTCCTGTGGTGTCTAATTATCCCTGACTCCATGTTATACCAGGCTCCCTTAGTATGTATGGGGGGTAGGAGTTCTGAGAGTAAGGGACCAAAAAAGCCCTAAATGGTCTAGTGGGTGTGTTTAGGTTTATTTTTAATATTCCATGAAAGTTTTGTTAAAGTCTACTATATTTTCTGTTTACTTAAACAATGATTTAGATCCAGAATATAGAAAATTTTTGGAAAGTTATGCTGCAGATAATGAGAAAATGACATCTACTCCAGAGACACTGCTAGAGGAAATAGAAGCAAAAAATAGAGAATTAATAGGTAAGTGGGCAATAGGAATTAAGGACAATTGCTTTTTCTTCAGAAGACTTGTCTGATTCCCACTTCTGGCAGTTACTAGCTGTGTGACCATGGGGAAGGCACTAACTTCTCTGAGCCTCTGTTTCTTCTGCTGTAAAATGCAAGTAGTACCTGCCTCACAGGGTTATGTAAATGCTTTGAGAAGATGGGCAAAATTCTCTGGGACCTATTTTAATGTCACATAAATATAAGTGGAAAAAGTCTAAAGACCCATGGGACCTTTAGATATTGGTAAGCCTTTGAAGATGAACTGGTATTTTCTAGTAACAAGCAGCTCACATTCCTGAAAAAATATTGAAAATATCAAAAGGTGAAATTAGTTGCTGCAAAATTGAAGACTTCTTGAGAAAGTCTAGTTTGGATGTTCTAGTAGTAAATTGTCACTCTTCTAGTAATAAATGGTCACTCCTCTATCAGCTCTAATCATAAGCAAAGCCCCTGACCCAAGATTTCCACTCTTAGGAATTTATCCAAAGGAAGTATGCTTTCAAAAAGCCAGCTATAAGGTGGGGTGCTGGGGTGGCTCAGTCAGTTAAGCATCCCGACTCTTGATTTCGGCTCAGGTCATGATCCTCAGGGTCATGAGATCAAGCCCTGCACTGAGCTCCACACTGAGCATGGAGCCTGCTTAAGATTCTCTCTCCCTCCCTCTGCCCCTCCCTGCTCTCTGTCTCTCTAAAAACAAACAAACAAAAAAAAACGCAAAACACTAAAAAAACCCTAATTACAAGACTAGATAGCATTATTCAGAATATTGAGAATTACATATTCTTCTAAAACTATTTTTTTAAGATTTGTTCATTTATTTGAGAGAGAGCACAAGCGGGGAGGGGGGCGGAGGGAGGGGCAGAAGGAGAAGCAGACTCCTCAATGAGCAGGGAGCCCACGGGGTCCAATCCGAGGACCCCGAGATCATGACCTGAGCTGAAGGCAGATGCTTAAACAACTGAGCCACCCACGGGCCCCCTAGAATAGTTTTTATTAATAGATGCAGAATATAAGCCCATCTCTAATGGTTTCCTTAGAATAAATTCCCAGAAGTGGAATTGTGGGGTCAGAAAGATTAGATATTTTTAGCTCCTTCAGTTTCTTCCCAGTTGAACAGATTTATATTCCCATCTGTAAAACAAGAGAATGTCCTTTGCACTCCATTCTCACCAACACTGGGAATTGCTCTTTTAAGAAATTGTTTTAATTTGAATTTCTTCACTTTTTAAAAAGTATTTTAAACCTTCAGAACTGAAGTAGAATATTGTGAAACTTCTTTCTGATAATGTACATGTGAACTGTTTTAAGGGGTATACTTTTCCCACCTTGGGTGGTTGGCAGGGAATGTCAGAAAATGGAATCCTTTCTAGGGGTGGATAAGTATTATTAATAATCTGTTTACATTTATGTAGCTAAAAAGACAACCCCACTTTTGAGCTTCCTGAAAAACAAGCAGGTAAACCTTTTGTTTTTATAGTTCTCTCAATACTTTTATTTCATTGGTTCATGGTCTGTAAACATACGAGCATTGGGATCCTAGAGGAGAAATAGCTGCTTTTTCCACCCTTATTCTTTAAAGATTTGGCTCACTGGCCTCACTCTCTGGCCCACTCCTTCAGTCTGGTTGTTGGGCCAAGGATTCACTCTGCAAACCCAGAGAGTCTTTAGCTTATTCCAGAGACACTCCCTTGATTTTCTGAAAGTCTCTGGAAATATAGCAAGTCAACAGTGGGAGATTGATACCAGCAGGCCCTGGTCTTTATTCTCATATTCACAATGGGGTGGGGAGGGGGTTAAAGAGATAGGATGCCCCTTTGTAGAAAGTAGGAAGGAAAGACGATCCAATTTAGTGGGTGCCCACCATACCTTCGGGATTAAGTTTCTGGTGGAGATTATCTTGTTGGAAGGCTTATGTTGATGTTTCTTTCCAGAGAATGAGAGAAGAAAAAAGAGAAGAAAGAAGGAGGCGAGAAATAGAAAGGAAAAGACAAAGGGAAGAAGAGAGGAGGAAATGGAAAGAAGAAGAAAAACGAAAAAGGAAAGACATAGAAAAGCTGAAGAAGATAGACAGAGTTCCAGAAAGGGACAAATTAAAGGATGAACCAAAGATTAAGGTATGAAAATAACTTAAATTGACTGCATGTTGCTAAAAATCGCATGTGTCTACTTCGTTAAATATGCATGCATCTTGTGTTGGTGTAAATACAGTTTTTTGGTTTTGTTGTTGTCTTTTTGGGGGGGGGGAGGTGAACCAACAGGAATCTTTTCAATACTGCTAATAGTATTATTTTTTAAAATTCGAGATAATTTCAACAGATTAAGTAACTTACATGATATTTCTTCAGTGAAGATCTGCGTTATTTTTATCATTGCGAATGTTCAATGTCTGGATTATTATTCTCTCAGTTCTTCATAAGTAAGGACTTAGGGCTGGCTGGCATGAAGTGTGGGTTTTATTCAGCTTTTCCTTCATATTTGATACATGAAGTTGCCTCATCTGTTTGTTTTCCACTGTCTTCAGGTACACAGGTTTCTGTTACAAGCTGTGAATCAGAAAAATGTAAGGACCAAGTACATGATACAGAGCATCTAGTATCATGTCACACACACAGGTCTTAGTTAATAATAAGTCCTTTTGGTGGTGGTGGTAATGATAACCTGTAGAAAACTCTTCCCTGACTTGAGTCTTCTTCAAATCTGAGCCATTTTAAATTTCTACCTTAGAAGGAAGCCCAGGTGCCTTCCTGATGCTCTGCTGGGTACCCAGAAGCTTCCACAATATACAGCTAGAGGACAGCTGTGCCTAAAGAGCTCTTTCTCTTCACGTGCCCCTCCTAACTGGTTGCCTTGTGGGAGTATTTAGGGATAAACACCCTGTGTCACATGCTTCCCCATTACCTTCTTTCATCTACCGGGAATCTGTGAGTGGCAGATTCTGATGGACACGCTGCATCTAGGAAGAGGAAAACTTGTAGAAAAATCCCAGCCTTACTGCTTCCCTTCTGAGGGCATGGCTTGGGCAGCTCTTGCTCCCACAAACGTTCTGGGGAAGTACCTAGTACTTTAGAGAAGGTCAGAAAAAATCTCACAGAGGTGGTGGCAGGGTCTCCTTTTATCTCCACAAAACTAAGCAGGCCAGGGTTTATTCCCCACAAGGCTCTCCCGGGCTCATTATTGGCAACAAGGAGCTTGGCAGTGGGGTGGAAGGTTCCCATCTTCATTCCTTCTAGTGATCTCTCTCTCTGCCATGCCACAAGCGACCTGACTTGCTATTCCTGTCAGCAAGGCAGAAGGTAGAGCCAGCCATACTAGAAACATTCATCAATGTTCTTAAGAGAGTAATGAACATCCTGGCTTCTAACAAAGATGTTCATTGGAAAAATAAGAACACTCCCGATGAAGCCTCACGGGGAGCCCTCGCTTTACATTGGTGCCTCCTCGGTGTCCAGCTCGGACTTGCCGTCTGCCGTGGCTGCGCGCTGAAGTACTTCGCGCTTCAGTCTTGCGCTGCTTTGCCTTTCGCTTGGTGACTCGTGTGCTGCCTTCACCCTGAGACGAAGCTTTGTGTGATGCCTTCACTCTGAGACTCGAAATTCTTCCATTTTGCCTAAGAATCTCTCTGAATATCCGACGCTTGGGGGTATTCTAGAGAGGTTCGTGGCAGTGGTGTGAGAAAGAAACTATTTTGTTAGCAATTTGGACTTTATAAAGCACGTTTATTTTAGAACTGCATTGTCATATATATGTGTGTGTCTCATATGTGTGTGTGTGTGTGTGTGTGTGTGTGTACACACACATATATATATATATGTGACATTGAGCAGAGTTCCTACTCAGTAGAAATGGAACTTCACAGTCCTGTGAGGTATTTGGATTTTTAAATCAAATAATGAAAACTATGATTGTACCATCATAAGTGTGTTATTCTCAGGTTCAAGGCAAAATTATTCTTGCAATGGATCTCTCCTTTGGTGACAAAGGCATTCGTCATTCCAAGTACTACCAGAAAACAGTCCAACAGCAATCTGCCTAGCATTTTAAATTTGTGGCTTATTTTCCGCATCAAGCGATATCAATATGCCAGTTTGCTACAGAGGGAGTACTTGGAAGTGGGCTGACCCATCCAAAGCCAAAGGAGTGTTGATCCCATTGCCACAAGTGATTAAACCACTTTGAGTGGATGACACTTTCACATTAATGGCATCTTTTTGGTCAATCACTGCTCTTGTGCTCTAGTCATTCACCTGTAAGTTGAAGAGTATCTGCAGAAAGAGGCCTTCTATAGCCTAGATTCAAAATATTTAGTATATTATTTTCTTTGATAGAATCAGAAGAGAATGTCCCACCCTTCAAAATAAGAATAAATTTGTTCTCTTTAAAGCTACTCAAGAAGCCAGAAAAAGGAGATGAAAAAGAATTAGATAAAAGAGAAAAAGCCAAGAAACTGGACAAAGAGAATCTGAATGATGAAAGAGCCAGTGGGCAGAGTTGTACCCTGCCCAAGCGCTCTGATGGTGAACCTAAAGATGAAAAGCCTAAGAGGTCAGTAGTCAAGGGCTCTTTGGTACACTTGTTTATGGCATATTTCTACGTGCTAGTTTTACTGCCGTGTCCGAGACTCGTGCCTGAGTTATGAGGGGTAGGGGGATGAGAAGAGAGGTTTCAAACATTCTAGCACCTCAATCTGGGCGAATGACTTCTGGTGTGCACTTTTTTTTTTTAACTGTTTTTCAAAATGCTAGTATTTTTTTACTCTGCTCCAGAAGTGCCCCCTCACTGTAGTGGCCAAGTCCTAATCAGAGACATGTGCATGCGTGACCCGACAGGCTTTGAGGGTGTCCGCTCAGATCTGTTTCCCATGCAGGCCCGAAGAGGAGAGTGTCCGAGACTACCGGGAGCGGGAGCGGGACTACGAGCGAGACCAAGAGCGCATCCTGCGGGAGAGGGAGAGGGAGAGGCTGAAGCGGCAGGAAGAGGAGCGCCGCAGGCAGAAGGAGCGCTATGAGAAGGAGAAGCCTTTTAAAAGAAAGGAAGAAGAATTGAAAAAAGAGAAAGAAGCCCTTCGGGATAAAGGAAAGAAGACTGAAAGCACAGAATCAGTAAGCAGCTCAGAAAAAACTGAAAAGAAAGAGGAAGTGGTTAAGAGAGATCGCATAAGAAACAAGGTGCTGCTTTTCGTTGTATCTCTTTTCATGAGGCTTTTTTTTTTGCCTGCAAGTGTAAAGGAAAGGGCCAGCTCACTGTTTATGACAGACTTTTTTATTTATTTATTTATTTTAGATTTTATTTATTTATTTGACAGAGAGAGATCACAAGTAGGCAGAGAGGCAGGCAGAGAGAGAGGGGGAAGCAGTCTCCCCGCTCAGCAGAGAGCCCGATGCGGGGCTCGATCCCAGGACCCCGGGATCATGACCGGAGCCGAAGGCAGAGGCTTTAACCCACTGAGCCACCCAGGTGCCCCATGACAGACTTTTTTAAAGAGGAAGTTGAACTATCTGCAACTTTTTTTCAGTCTCAGTTGGGTCCTTTTATTAACACTGTAGAAATTTCAAACAGACACAGAAGTAGAACAGAGAATATGACACACCCAGCTTCAGCACTTACCAGCTCGTGGCCAACCTTTCTACTCTGCCCCATCCCTACCTCTCCTGGATTCTTTTTTTTTTTTTTTAAGATTTATTTATTGAATTGAGAGAGAGAGAGTGAGCAAGAGCAGGAGGGGCAAAGGGAGAGGGACAGAGAATCTCAAGTAGGCTCCACACTGAGTGCAGAGCTCGACAAGGGGCTCAGTCTCACAGCCCCGAGATCAGGACCGGGGTCGAAATCAAGAGTCGGACACTTAACCGACTGTACCACCCAGGAGCTGCTGGATTATTTTCAAGCAAATCCTAGACATATCATCTTCTTTAAATACATCAGTATTAGAGACAGATTTTTTTTTAAGATTTTATTTATTCAACAGAGAGATCACAAGTAGGCAGAGAGGCAGGCAGAGAGAGAGGGGAGGCAGGCTCCCCACTGAACAGAGAGCCCGATGCGGGGCTCGACACCAGGACCCTGAGATCATGACCTCAGCCAAAGGCAGAGGCTTAACCCACTGAGCTACGCAGGCGCCCCCAGATTCTTTTTCTTAATACAATCCCAATAACATTTTTATACTAAAAAAAAAAAAAAAATCCTAATAATTCCTTAATGTCCTAGCTACTATGTTGTTTTTCCGAATTGTCTCACTAATAACTTCTTTACCGGCTCTAAACAATGTCCACAAATTGTATCCTTTAAGTCTCTTAATCTAAATAACCTCCCCTCCTTTTGTTTTCCTGCCATATATTTGCTTCAGAAACCAGTTTGTCCAGAGGAGCTATCGGCTCTAAATTGGTTGGGCTAATTATATCCCTGTGGTACCATTTAACATGTTTCTCTATCTTCTCTGTTTCCTTAAAAACTAGTAGTTCTATCTGGGGCAGGGGTCAGCAGATTTTTTTCTGTAAAGAGCCAGATGGTAAATATTTTAGGCCTTGTGGGCTATATGGTCTCTGTTTGAACCTCTAAACTCTGTAGGAAAGCAGGCATAGATAATATGTCAAAGAATGAGTATGTGTGCCAATCAGACCATTCATAAAAAAAGGTGGCTCCTCACCTACAGGCCTGAATATATTCAGGCTCTGTTTTTGGCAAAAATACTTCATAGATTGGGGCACCTGGGTGGCTCAGTCAGTTGACTCAGGTCATGATCTCAGGGTTGTGGATTGAGCCCCACATCAGGCTCTGTGCTTAGTGGAGTCTGCTTTTCTCCTGTCCCTCTCCCTCTGCCCCTCTCTCTGTACTGTCTCTCTCTCAGATAAAGAAAGAAATCTTAAAAAACAAAGAATGCTTCATGAGATGGAGGGGTGCCTGATTGGCTCAGTCAGTAGAGCATGCAACTCTTGATCTCAGGGTTGTGAGCTCAAGCCCCACACTGGGTGTGGAGATTACTTAAAAATAAAATCTGAAAAAGAGAATACTTCATAGATTGTGTTGTATACTTCCTGTTGCATCATATCAGGAAGCGTGTGACCTATGGGTGTCTTTCTAGTGTAATGTTCTGATCAAGCAATAGCAATTGTATTGTGGTTATGGAACAGGATGTCCTTGTTCTTTGGCTATACAAGCTGAAATATTTAGGGATGAAGGGTCGTAACGTCTGCAGCTTGCTCACAGGTGATTCTGTAAAAATCACATGTATATATGTGTACTAGAGACAGAAGGAGCATGTGACAAAATGTTTATAACTGTGACTCTTAAGAGAAGGGTATTAGGTATTCATTGCACAAGTTTTGCAACATTTCTATAGATTTAAAATTTCTCTAGGTGATAAAGTTGAAAAAACAACTGATCAGTAGGTTCAGGTATGGTAAAGCCTGATCCATCTACCATAAAAAATTTTAGCCTGAGGGGCGCCTGGGTGGCTCAGTGGGTTAAGCCTCTGCCTTCAGCTCAGGTCGTGATCCCAGGGTCCTGGGATCGAGCCCTTCATTGGGCTCTCTGCTCAGCGGGGAGCCTGCTTCACCCTCTCTCTGCCTGCCTCTCTGCCTACTTGTGCTCTCTCTATCAAATAAATCTTTAAAAAATAAAAAAAAAATTTAGCCCAAAATTCAGTTTATACAGGAAAGGCAGGATAAACACTTGTTCCTTTCCCTTTATGTACCAGCATTCAGAGTAATGAGCTGGTGTCCCAGCCACTTCTAGGTAATCAGTGAGTTTTGTTTTGTCGCAATAATTTGTGGATTTAGAAATATTTGGCACATTCCAACTTGTTGTTACCAGTCATTGTCCTTGTTGATGTTTACATTGTTCCTTCTTTGCACAGTGGGAGCCCCATCATCCATTTCATTAAATACTATGCAGGAATCTTAACCTGTTTCAACATTTCATCTTATAAAAATAGTGAAACATTTTGCTGGAATTGTTCAGTTGAGAATAATGCTTTAAGGCTAACTCTCATACACCAGGGAGAAAGGGTAAGGAAGGCTCATGTGATTTTTTTGTTGAATTCAAAAAGGGCCTAACGTCTAAGTTTTCCAGGATCCTTCTGTCATAAACCACACATGTTACTTGAACTGAGAGGTACGTGATGACTTTATTGAGGCTTATTTAGGAATTTGAGATCTAAAATGCCACCTAGAGAGTCTCAGGCTGGGGTGTTAAGTTGCCATACATGAATTAAGAAATAATCATGTTTGTGGCAAGTTGCATAGGGTCCGAGCTCATAATCTCAGGGAGGTCTCCACTTAAGACTGCATTCTTTATTACTGTTTTACTCCTATGATCTTCTTACGTGGTAGTGAATGTTAAAGTCAGTTTACTGATGGGGAAGAGAGACAGGCAATGGCTGAGGTTTCAAAAGAAAGGAAATTCAAGCTAATTCAGTTTATCTTGAGATGGTTAAGAAAATTAGATTTATTGAAAACGTATCGTAGGGCTATAAAATAATACTTAGAAAGTGGTTGCTTTTATTTGGAGATGGGGAAAGGAAGTGGGCAGTTAGAGGCAAATTAACCATCAGTACTGTCGGTTTGATCTCGTAGGAGTTGTTTTTGGTATACATCAATACATAACTTATGACTGTGAAAATCCCCTATAAATGTTGAGTAGCAGTGTTGTAACATGAACATTTAATTTTACTTTAGGATCGCCCAGCAATGCAGCTTTACCAACCAGGAGCTCGAAGCCGAAATCGACTCTGTCCACCTGATGACAGCACCAAGTCTGGAGATTCAGCAGTAGAAAAAAAGCAGGAAAGTGGTATTAGCCATAGAAAAGAAGGAGGAGAGGAGTGATAAGTCCAGAAGGCCTTAGGTGTCCTGACTGTCTAGGCAGCCAAAGAGCATGTATTAAGCAATCCAGAAGTGCCTTCAGGGCAAAGGAGTAGAGAGAGAGAAAGGGGATCGCTGTGCTAGTGGGGTACACTGCGGAGGAGTCTGTTTTTTTTTCTTTGCGTCAAAGCAGGAACCTGACCGCAGGTTCAGGTTGGAAGTTCAATTTCATTTTTTATGCAGTTCCTACAAATTAACTTTAAAGTGTCAGACAAAGATGGGGGAGAGGACATGCATTGCAATTTGCAGGCAGGAAGGGTCAGGTGAGGACTTCATTAGGTATGACACAAGGAGGGGGGAAAAAAGACAGCTGGTTCTGAGAGCAAGGTTTGTGAAATCCTGGATTGAATTCTCTTCATTTGAGTGGAACAGAGTCACTGTGAAGTCTTGTTCAGATCTAGTTACATTCATTGTCGGTGGTAACTTGACTTTGTGTAGTGTAGGTGCAACAAACATGTAATTGTAGTACAAGGACAGTGGAGGATATAACAGATTTTTGCCTGTACAAAAATTTAAAGTCCTGTCGTGTCTATATCCTGTGTCCTAAAGTTTTAGGATTAGTTTTAGTTTTTTGTTTGCTTACATGAGCTTAGCACAAAGAGTATTTTTAAACACCTCCTTTTTTGCCTTTAGCAGTTTTTATATTAATAAGTAAAATTTTAACCCTTGTTTGGTTCTTGACAATCCAGTCTTCGTTTTAATCTTAGGTCTCTTGATCTGAGTGCACACCCTTTCCAGGAAGGAAACCGTACCAATATTTGTTCCTGTCAAATAGCAACTTTTGTCCTGGCTTGTTTTGCATTGATGTCAATAAATAACAGCATCGCTCAAGTGTGAAGCTCAGTGTATTTGTTAACTACTAAATAGCTATTCATTTTGAGACATTAAATTTTCGATACTGAATTTACCTCTTCGGTATTTTGAAAGGGGATGAAGGATACTCATTTCTGCCTTCACTGGCATTATGCCTTTATTCTTCCCACCAAGAAGATCAAATCATGGTTCACTACTCTTGTTCCACAAAAACCAAAATGTCTGGACAATATCCTTGAGCTGCTGCTTCATGTCCATCCTGCCGGCTTCTCCTCACGTGGCGTCAGTCTGCCCTTACTTAGTAAGTGACCGTTTTAGTTTAACTCAGCTTTGAGAAACCAGTATCCCGGGAGGCAGGTAAAGAGGATCGAAGATGACTAAAAGAATGGTCCTCAGCTGGGAGAGAGGACTAAAATACAGGAAGGGCAAATTTCAAAGAGAATGGCTGGCAGCGGCCCACGCCTCAGAGAGGTCAGGGAAGCTGAGATGTGTTCACCGGGCTTGGCAGTATTGAGGTCAGTAGTGAACTGCTGAGGCAGAAACCACGTTACGGGGAGGGGCGAGTGGCAGGTAGGAAATGTGGACGGGGAAGCTGGATGAATGGACCTTGGAGCTCAGAGAAGAGGTCTGGGCTGGAGGTACAGATGGGGAATTCGTCTGTTTTAGGTGACCATTGAATCCATGGGTCCAGATTTAGTCACTTAGGGAAAGCGAGTGAAGAAAGAACAAGCAGACCTAGGGCCCAGCCTTGAAGAACCATAAGGTTACAGGTAAGGAAAAGCACCGTCAAAGACAGAAAAGGGATAGCCAGAGAGGAGGTGGGAAACCGGCAGACTCCAATACTCCCTAACCCGAAAAATTGAAGAAGGCAAAGGAAGTGGCCATTAGGGTGGGACGCTGCTGGAAGGTCAAGTGTGATGCCTGAGAAAAAGGCCATGGTTTTCTACGAATCTCTGATGACCTGGAATTACAGGGACTGGAAGCCAGACTAGGTTGAGAATGGTTACAGCATAAGACGTTTGGCAGTGAGAAAAATGGAGACAGGTAAATGGCGGCGAGGAAGGATTATTTTAAATATGAGAACTACCAAAGCATGTTTAGAAGCCGAAAGGAAACCTCAGAAAGACCCAAGGGAAGCGATTGTCCGCTAGGTCTCCTGCGAAGGCAGGTGGCAGCAGGGCAGCACGGGGGAGAAGGAGAAGCAGGAGAAGCAACGCCCCGCAGCCGCTAGTCCTGAGCTGGTGTCACTTGCCTCCCGCCCCAGCCTGGGACCTGCAGCCAGGCCTCTGGAGGCTGTGTTCCCATCAACACCTCCGTCGTCTCTTCTACTCACCCTTGCCAGCCCAGACTCGGTAAACCGCGCTTCCCTATGCCCCTTAACATTTTTCCACTTACTCACTTCCGCAAACACTGATCACCGGCAGTAGGCTAGGCCCCGGGGGTCCAGACCCGAGTCCTTGTCTTTGAGAAACCATGGTCTGGTGGTGGCAAGAAGCAACTAGAAATCACCAGAGCGAGGTGCACCATGTAAGGAGGGCTAGGACGGCACAGCCAGGTGTGGGCCGCACCTGCCCCTAAGATGCCAAGTGTTGCCGGAGACAACCCCGCAACCAGATCAACCGGCGAGACTACCGGAGGGCCCTCCACCCTGCCCAGCAGTTGAAATCTCACCGATTACCTTCCCGCAGGGCCGCCTTGCTCTCCCTGGCGGACTCCCCTGGCTCTCCTGGGAGGGAGGGGGCGAGGACCACTTCCTCGTAACTCATCATTTAAGGTCTCTGTGAACACCAGCTGCTGCAAACAACAGGAAAGCGTTCGTTCTGTTTTTGCCTCCTTCAGATAAAGGTTCAGTTTGTTTTTGGGGGATAACAACAGGACGGAGACAGCTAAGACGCTGGATAGCAGAACATCCGTGGAACACCTCCTGCGTGCTGGCATGAAGACTACAGACTATGGTGGTAGCGAACGAGGTCCCTGCCCTCGTGATACTTAGAGCCCCGGGGCGCTCGCTGCTCTGGTGGACAGTGATGCAAGGGAAGCAGGCAGAAAAATTCAAAGAGCGAGGGCAGTGGGGTTAGGTCTTCAAGGCAGTGACAAATGGATGGCTTTGGGTACTCAGGCCTTCAAAATCAGGACCCGCACCCCTTTTCCCGGCAGGCAGACAGCAGGTAGTCCCGAGGTAGTAATTCAACTCGTAATTAGTGAAGATCTAACTCTCTGTGCTATTCACAGATGCTACCTTTAATTCCATAGGAGGAAGGTTAGTAAGAGTTTTGTAGCCCGTTTGTTGCTATACAGAAACTCTGCACTTTTTTTTTTATAGAAGATTTTATTTATTTGACAGAAACAGCGAGAGAGGGAACACAAGCAGGGGGAGTGGGAGAGGAAGCAGGCTTCCTGCTGAACAGAGAGCCCAATGTAGGGCTCAGGGCTCGATCCCAGGACCCTGGGATCATGACCTGAGCCGAAGGCAGACACCTAATGACTGGGCCACCCAGGCGCCCCAGAAACTCTGTATGTTTTATCTTTTTATGGGTCCTGCCCAGAATTTTCTTTATAATCTCTGGGGCTGTATTCCATACCACAAAAATCTATTACGACCACTTACGTCATTATTAAAGAAAGCAAGGTAGCAAAATTAGGTTCCCATGTGAATTCTTGGAGAGAATATATTGACAGCTACATACATAGGATTAGCCATCCTTAGAAAGCTCACATTTATTCAATCACCAAATAATTTTCAGTAATTATCAAGTTCCTACTATGGAGATGGGTAAATACATAATTGTCCATTATTACTGTAATGTAAGGCATAACATCTGTATTTCTAGACTTTGAGTATCTCTGGCCCTGACCACCCCCCTAACCTCAGATGCAGCTGTCTACTAGACATCTATGCCCAAATGACCGCCATGGATCTCTGGTCCCAAACTGAGGTTCCTCCCCGTCCTGTTTCGTCGAGGATATCAACCCCCTACCCACTAAGCATTGAGGGTCGCACTTGACTCCATCCTCACTCCCTACAGCCAATCACTGTATCGTTTGTCCAATTCCTCCCCCCCCCACTCCCTTCACTGCCCTTGTGCGGGTTCCCATTATTCATTCATTCATTCACTACTTCTTGAGCGTACACCATGAGCCATGTATGTTCTAGACTTCGGAGTTCCATCAGTGAACAAAACAAAATTCCTGCCTTCATGGAGCTTATATTCAAGTGGAGAAAGTAAATAAAACAAGCAAAATAAGCATTATCAGAAAGTGACAAGTGCAGGGCTCCTGGCAGGCTCAGTCAGTAGAGCATGTGACTCTTGATCTCCGGGTTGGGAGTTCGAGCCTCATGTCAGGTGTAGAGATTACTTAAAAAGAAGGTGGCAGGTGCTTGAGAGAAATAATAAGTCAGGGAGGGGTGCCTGGGTGGCTCAGTCGGGCGTCTGCCTTCGGCTCGGGTCGTGATCCCAGGGTCCTGAGATCAAGCCCCAAGTTGGGCTTCTTGCTCAGCAGGAAGCCTGCTTCTCCCTCTCCAGCTCCCCTGTGCTTGTGTTCCCTCTATCGCTTATCTCTCTGTCATAAATTAAAAATAATAATAATGTCAGGGAAAGGGAATATGATGTTCATGGTTGGGGGTTGAAAGGCCTAAATGAGAAGGTGACTTCGGAGTAAAGACTTGAGAAGGAAATGAGGGAGCTAGCTCCATGGGTATCTGGGGGGTACAAGCCTCCAAAGGAAAAAGTATGTGAAAAAGGGGTAGGAATGTGCCTGGCCTGCTCAGGAACGGCAAAGAGGCCATGACAGCTGGAGTAGAATGAGCAAGGAGAAGGTCTGCCAAAAGGGATGGAGTAAAGTCAGAGAGCTAATGGGGGCAAGATCCTACAGGTCAGAGTCAAGACTTTCCTTCCCAGTGATATAGGAACCACCGCAAAGTTTTGAGCAGAGGAGTGATATAATCTGACTTGATCTTTTAAAATAAAAGGATCACTCTGGCTGCTGTGTTGAAAACAGACCAACGCAAGGGAAACAAGGACAAAGGATAAGCTATTGCAGTAATCCAGTGGAGAAATGATGGTCGCCTGGCCCCGGATGGTGGCAGTGGAAGTAGCCAGAAGTGATCACATTCCGAACATATTTTGTAGCTAGAGCCCACGGAATTTGCTGACTGATCAGATTTGGGGGGTGAGAGAGTCAAAGATTATTTAAGCAACGGGAAGGATGGAGAAAGAATTCAGATGGGGAAGACTTCAAGAAAAATGGTGTGTGTGCGTGTGTGTTTGGAGGTGCAGGGGGCTACCGGGGGCGCTCAGTTGTGGACGTGTGAAGCCATGAGACTGAGATCACTGTGACAGTAAGCACAGATTGAAGGGAAGAGATTCGAGGGCTGAGGTCTGGAGCGCTCAAGCATTTAGACGTGAGATAGAGAGCCAGAGAAAGAGATTCTGAGGAGCAGTCAGCAAGAGAGGGCCTTATTTCAAGTGAAGGCAGTATTTCAAGGAGAAGTCAACTAAGACAAATGTAGCCGATAGGTCGAATAAGATCCTAGCAGAGAAATTAACTTAGGATTTAGCAACAGAGAGGTCACTGGTGATCTTGGGCAGTTTCAGTTGGAGTGATAGGTGAAAACCTAATTGGAGTGCATTCCTGAGAGGACAGGCACCCACTAGGATAGGATGCCTATCAAATTATTTTTGGGGCACGGGGCACCTGGGTGGCTCAGTGGGTTAAAGCCTCTGCCTTCGGCTTGGATCATGATCCCAGGGTCCTGGAATCGAGCCCCGCATCGGACTCTATGCCTAGCAGGAAGCCTGCTTCCTCCTCTCTCTCCCCCTGCCTCTCTGCCTACTTGTGATCTCTGTCTGTCAAATAAATAAATAAAATCTTTAAAAAATATAATGTTTTTTTTTTAAAAAAATATTTTGGGGTTGCCTGGGTGGCTCAGTTAGTAAGCATCTGCCTTCGACTGGGGTCATGATCCCAGAGTCCTGGGATGGAGCCCCGCGTCGGGCTCCCTGCTCTGCGGGGAGCCTG